GACCGGAAGTGCTGGTCAGCCAGGCCGTGTGCCATTGATCGAAACAAGTGATAGTCAGAGGGAGCAACGTCTGGAGAATACGGCGGGTGGGGTAGGACTTCCCATTTCAACGTTTCCAAGTATGTCTTGACCACTTTCGCAACATGGGGTCGAGCATTGTCATGCTGCAAAATCACTTTATCGTGTTTCTCGTTGTATCGTGTCGGCCGTTTGTCTTTCAATGCTTGGCTCAAACGCATCAATTGCGTTCGATACCGATCGCCTGTGATTGTTTCAGTAGGTTTTAATACAGTTCATAATACACTATGCCGAGCTGGTCCCACCAAATACAGAGCATGACCTTGGACGTCAAAATCACCGTTCTTGAAGCGTTGAAACCACTCATGACACGTTCTTTCACTAATAGCGGCCTCACCATAAGTATTTGAGAGCATTCGATGAGCCTCAGCCGCAGATTTCTTCATATTGAAGCAAAAAATTAAAACCTCCCGCAAATGACGAGAATTTGGCTCATAAACTGACATTTTCAATCGAAAATAACTTTATGATGCAGACACAAATCGATTAATTGTTTCTATGGGGTTATGTTGACAGATGCCCAAGTTTATTGTATGACGTCTATGATCTATTTATTTCGACCACTTATCGCTAAAGTCATCTATAGGAAAACGGCGGAAGCAAAGTTGTGCACCTAATATTAAAATATTCAGAATTAAAATTATGTTCAAGTTATATATATTTTAAAATATTTGATATTGGAGTAATTTTTCTTTTTATTTTTTAGATATTTAAATCATTTTAATCGAATGTACAATAATAATAATAAGTACATATATTTTGATTTAATATTCTTACTCATAACTACTTACTTAACTACTACTCTATGAAAATTACATCTAAGTTTTAAAATATCTTGTTTGAAATACAAAATTCAAGTGAACCTTCGTTTTAGATAATTGATAGAAAAAGATTAGAGTCTTTTTTACTTTTAATTTAAAACCTTACATATAATATTGTACATTATATGAAAATCAATAGTAGCAAAAATCAATATTGTTTAACCTATTAAAATTAATAACGAAATGGCAGATCGATATGCAGATACCTGTAATTACAATTGAGCGTGCGAACTTTGCGCGATGCCATTTCGACGAACCTCGATCGTTTTTAATTCAAATACCACTATATTCTCAACATTTTGTATTAGAGTATTTCAATTAATTAATCTTCAACATACATTATTAAAGTATTGTAAGATAGTTGCTGTTCACACGATATTCTTGGCGCGGGCGAGTCTCTGAAAGAGCACTCTATAGGCTAAGTAAATCAGCGGCCTTTGGCCAAGAGAGACCACCCTTTAACCCCCGTACCAGCCCCACCGCCATCTCTTGCGTGATGATAGAAGTGGGGATGGCAGGGACAACAAAGGGTCGGCTAAGAGCTCTTCAGCGACCACTCGCGCACCTTCCCCATCCTAGGAAGCATCACGTACTCTTCGGCTCAACTAGTCTTGCTTGCTTGCTTGCTAGCTAGCTGCTTGCTTGCCTCATGACGTGATTGCCACCGAAATGTGTTTACCGTAAACCGTATCAAACTGTCGAGAGCCGGCCCGCTTCAGCGTTGTAGTTGTCTGTCTTTTTCGAGTACATCGATAAAAGTACGTATCTTCATCAATTTCGCGAGTCGCCGTTTGTGGCCATCGTGCAATTTTTCATTTTTCCATTTTTGTAAACTTCGATCCTAAAGTAGACACGTGTAAAATCATATAGAACTTGAGATTTGTATTTTCTATTATTAACATGCTAAGTTATGATTCTGCAGTCATGATGAGAGTAATACGGGGTAAAGTCTTAGAAACAATAAATTCTCTTAGAAGAAAATGCGTTAATTTATAATTGTTAATTTATAATGTGTTGAAGCAAATTCTTTAAATTTTTTTTACAACTAATTTATATTTCATTATTATAAAAGCGCATAATATCATTATTTTTAATAGCAATGAAAACATACGCATTTTATAATATGTCTATTGTATGCGTATTATGAATGTAGATATGTATAGGATATTAAAAAAATTATTCAGCATTTATATGAATAGTATATATATATATCATATTGAATAAAAAAATCTTAATGAATATAGAGCGAAAACTTAACCGTTTCTAAAATATAAACATTTTTGTATGTTAGCTTCATGAATGACTTGCTATATTTACAGAAGAATGTTCCATATGTCCTCCTTCCATTTCTATACATGCTTAGCATATGAAGTATGGAAATTGAATGAGGACATACAGAACACAGTTTGTAAACATTGAGGTAAACATCGTATGCGAGACGTAAAAGCCAGTAAGTCATTCATGATGTTACATACAAAAATATTTATATCTTAAAAACGATTGACCTTTTCTATGTTCACTAAGGTTTTTTTACTCACTATGGTGTGTATTATCTTATAAATGCTGAATAGTTTTTTTTAATACCCTGTATAGACTATATGTGTTTGTATAGAAAATTGTTTAATCGTAATTATATGATGAGATTCTTCGAACGCAATCCGATTTTCTCATATTCGTTGATATATATTAAAGATATTTCATTTCTTTATCGAGACAAATCAATGCAAAATTTCATCGTGGTGTCAACAATCTCTGTCGCCAATCAATACTGATACTAACATTGACGATTAAAAGTTCGCATCACTTATACACCAGAATAATTTCAATGGTGATGATCGGACTTCGAATTCGAATACGTCGGCCAGAACTCAACAGTCTGTTGACAAACGATCTCGATAAATATCGGCATCGCATTCCGAAATAAATATCATGTTCGACTTCGATAAATACTAGGCATAGTTAAACGACGCTTGTCAGAATTAAAAGCTTATTGATTATCGAAATGTAATTCCCGCCTCGATGATATTCGTCCGCCCATTATTCTTCATCTATGTAACGATCACTCGTCCTTGACTTGCATAGGATAGCACGACGAATGTTTGCAAGCTCACTGCTTGAAGTGACTGCATGTTATCACGGAATTGAATTCAAATTAGCGGGATAATAATTAGACACGTGCGTTGTCTATATTTCGATCTTGCGACATAAGATGTTTTGTTTTAATTGTTATGTTTCAATTTTTATTGATAATTACAATGATGTAATAATATATTGCTTATAATATTAATTAAGTACTATTTAAAATTTGTCAGCTAATTACTATACGATCAATTTTTTTTTAGAATTAATTCATATTTATTTTGAATCTTTTGCTAGAAAATTTGCGATGCATCCTAATAACAGATATTTTACGTTGAGAAGAGTTTCTTGAATTATGTTTTAATTATATAAATAGGCATAAAACCTAAATAATACCAATTTCTTATTTAACATTTTCGTCTCGAATATAATTATATATTTTCTGGACAGTAGATTTTTAATTTTTTATCTAATCGTAAAAAAATTTGCTTGAAAGTTATTAATCGTGAAAAATTCAAATATAGTACAATAAATTTTTTACGATTGTACGCGGTCGACTAAACTCTTGTCGATTTTTACTTTAGGAATATAACGTACATCTGTGATCAGAATCTATCCAGAACACGCGGTATAATCGTCCTAAACACGCCGGAAGCTATTTCCGCCCCAATTTGCAATCCAGTAAATAGGGAACCAAATACTATCACACCCAATCTCAGACAATAGTTGGCTGCTCTGTGACGTATATATGAGTCTCATTGTTATTGTTTCGTTGTGAAATATGTATTAAGTGCTTGATGATCGGGCACGGATTCCATGGAACGAAATATTATATTTATTTGCCGACGTGGATATTATAACATTCATATTTCAGCAACGATTGTCACTGGGATAAGAGTATTGGTCATTTCGAATTAAAAGTACCCCGAGTATGTCGTAATAATGAGTTCCACGTCTTACGATTTTACGATCATCAAAATTAACTTTTGTAATTAAGTAATTCAATATATCCTGTATTTTTTTATTAGTATGCTCTTACTTTATCACATGAAGAATTTGTTGCCAAATATTTATTTATTAAACAATAAACAAAATTTAAAGACTCATCCCAATGAAACTTGAAAACATCCAAATTCTAAAATCTTTTTTTTACGACTCTCAGGTATGATTTAGTAACGCATTTTCCTCTAAATAATTTTCAACCTAAGAGTAATAAATTCATGGTGGAATCAATAGATAGCAAATAGTTTAGCAGAAACGCCGCTATTTCATATTAGATCGTATCACTTATCTCATAATAGGAGGACTTTTCTTCACATACACACACGCACGCATGCACGCACGCACGCATATCACATTTTAACATCCACATTTTAATTTATCCAATCAATTTTTTAAAAATTTGTAAATTTAAAAATATTTTGAACAAAAATTTTTATGATTTCAATGAGAAAGGAGTTTGAGGTATTAATAAAATAAAACTTGAAACGGCTATAACAAAAAAACTAATCATTTTCAAGCTTTGAGCCTATGGATTTTGATCAGTGAGTCAAGAACTCTATAACATATTAAAATTTCAGCCAATTTCGCCGAGGGCGAAAAGTTCTATGATTTTGTGCGGGGTCTTTTAATTTTCTTTCCAGGAACTGTGTATCCGATATTTCCTTAATTCTGATTATTATTATTTTATTTATATGTAACAATCATATTACATATTATTATATTACATATTATATTACATATTATATATTATATATAATATAATATAATATATTATATTATATATTATATGTTTACGAAAATCTTAAGAAAGCTTATTTATTTTTAAATCAAAATTATTCAGAAGTTTTTTTTACTTGTAATTTATTTAAATGGTCCATATAAATTCACAGATTTATTTCTTGTAAGATATACACATGTAACTTAAAATTATTCTTTCATTGTGAAAGAAAATGTATTTCAAATGAAGCCATATATGTCATAACATGCAACAATAAAAATGAAAAATATGGAAATACCTTATTAATTGCAAGAAGAAAAGCACTTTGTATGCTTTTCTACCTCTGCAATGGGCATTGAGAAAACACGAAAGTTTACTTCGTTGGTATTAAATGTATTGTTATAAAAGAATAATTTATAGATGTGTATTTGATATCTATTTGATAAGACCAATAATTCACCATGTCTAATCTTCATCCCGCTTACAAATTCCATTTTTGGATCATATGCAACGAGCTCCTGAGAAAAATATTATTTACGACAATAAAAATATAATGCTGAGAGTTATTGTTATATTCGAATTATATTCGAATAGTTTACCTTGTTTTTGGAATTAATTTCCTTAGTTGCATCCGCGCACATAATAGATGTTTTTGTAATATCGCTGAAAAATATTCCACATCTGTTAGATGTTATCGCAAGTGTTTGGCCTCCTAATGCACCCGCCAATTGAGTTTCTTTATTAGCTTCATTAATATCTTTTGGCGAACATTCTATTAAGTTCGATATTTTTGTCTTATACATTTTGCTTCCCACGAAAGGAACATAGTATAAATCTAAAATTTGCAGTGAAAGTGTTAACAGTTACAAAAAAATGTCGATAATTACTTGTTTAAATTCGTAAAACTTTTCTTATGCTATAATAAGCTCACACGATAAACAATTTCCTATAAGCAAAATATTAATATTATAGAATGTATAGATTAGTAGTAGATTCGAACACAATAGCAGATTGAAATGACATCAATTGTCGCATTCTGCTACCTTTCTATCGATAAAATCTGTTCGTATAATAACAGCAGATTGGCAGTAAAAATTAAGCAGAACTTGCTGACGAAATCAGAAACTCGGCAGAATCTGTGCTAAATCGAGATAACTGTTTTGTAGTTATTTAAATCGTGATCATTGGTATTAAAAGATCTTTAAAAATCCGGAAAAAAATATTTTATATAAAATTATATAGAATTATATATAATTCTATACAGGGTTGACAAGTAAAGCGTTATTTGTACGTCATTACCGTTACAAGTTACTTTTTCGATAACACGAATGGATAACAACGTTATATTTTCTTCTGAATAACGTTCATGGTAACGTTCAATTACATTTTTGGGGTAACGGTAATGATTTCACTAGTTACTTTTATCGTTACTTTATTTCTAACTACGTAAAAGTCGTTTAGTCGTAACTATAGCCCTACAAAACAAAGATGAACATTAAAAATTTGATTGTTAACAATAATGCCTTTTTTTCATTGTATTGTTATACAGTTCACACGTATAGACTAGAGAACTCTCTATGTATAGCATGTGGTGATGAGATCACGTTTTTATGTCAATAGATTTTATGTCAATAAATATCCTTGTGAAAAAAAGATTATATGATACTTATAATCTTTAGTATATTTAATTTCTTAAAATAAAATTATTTCTGTGTCATATCTCACAAATTAAATATATGTATATAATGCAGATTACGAACAATTATTTTTTTATTATTATAATATTATTTTATCCTTAGAGTATTCACGATAAGTCATTCGTATCTTGTTTCTTTTCTTCGAAATACTGCACCTGGCTAAATAATTCTTTCTATTCTTTCTAATTTCTTCTTTTTAAATATACAATTTCAAAAAATATTTTTTAAAGATGTTAAAATATATAATCTAGGAATCTATCCATAATTTTTGTATATTTGTAAAAATTATGGAAATTAACCCACACACAAACAACTCATCATGCACAGTAAAAGAAAATTATATACGTATTAAGAGTTAAACGTATAATATAAAGATATCTTATTAAAAGTAATACGAAAAATATATTTATTTAAGTATAAAAATTATAAAAAATGCAGTATATACTATAGGCATATATTTTTTGAGCTTTATTCCTCTATTAAAAAATAGAATTTTGACAGCTTTTTTACATTTACCGCAAAAATCTAGCGCATATAATATTCTATATAATAAATAATCGCATATAATATTCTATTAATATCAAGAAAAAAACGTAACGACTCATTATATTTTGATAACGATAACGAATTACTTTTGCGAATCAATAACGAGTAATGGGAATGAGTATTTTTTAGGAAAAAGAACGGTAACAGTAAGATTTATTTTTATGAGATAACGTTGCCAACCCTGATTGTATATAAATGGCA